CATAATTAAATGGCTGCATGTTTGTCTCTAATGCAGTCACTGCTTCTCAAATTCACAGTCTGAGAGATGTTGTGATAACACAAATGTAAATCTCTATGAAATAAAACTGTTTAGTTATAATTATCCAATTAACATTGTTCATTACAATTTCATTTACTACATTTTTCCCCATACAGTAGCTCCTGATTAGCTGGAGCCTTAAGAAAAATACGTTTGCAATTAACTCAGTATCTATGATTTCTTGTTTTCCTAGTTCCTAGATAGCCGTGTATTCCACTGTTGCAAGGTTTAAAACTTCTCTCCCCATTTATCACACTTTCCTACATTTTCAGCCCCTCTTCCCATCCTCCTTACAGCCACGCTCTCCCTACATAGAACAATAGAAATGTTACAGCATAGGGACTGGCCATTCAGCCCATCATGTCTGTGCTGGCTGAATAGCCTACCTGCCCATTCTAATTGCACATTCTAGCATCTGGTCAATAGCCTGCAGTTTATAGCACTTCAAGTGTATTTTGAGGTTCTCTTTAAAGGAGTTGAACGTTTTTACTTCAATCAGGAAACTGGACAGGGAATTCCATGTGCCAACCACCCACTGGGTGAACAAAGTTTTCCTTCTTTTCTCCTCTAAATCTTCTATGAATCATCTTAAATCTGTGCCCTCTCATAATTGACTTCTTTGCTAAAGGAAATGAGTCTTCCCCATCCATTCTATCCAAGCCCCTTATTATTTTCCAAACCTCAATTAAAACGTCGGTAGCCTCCTGTGTTGTAAGGAATACAACCCTAGCCTCACCAATCTTTCCTGATAACCTGCAATTTTCAAGCCCTGTCAACATTCTTATAAATCTCCTCTGTACTTTCTCTAGATCAACATGCCATTCCTTAACTTTTTGAAAGTTATTTATTATTGTTAGAATAATTTACCAGTACTCACTGATTAACTTATTTCCCTGCAACAAAGCAAGAGTCAACCCCAGGAGACTGAAATAGGTGGAAGAAGAATGGAGCACCTCCTCTCCCTCATCCAACTTCCCTGTAACTCTCCAAACTACCACATTACAGTGGGCAGATAAGGCAGCACCAAGAGGGTGGCAGATAGTGACCTCTGTTTGTGTCTTCTGAAAATTAATGGCTGAAGTATCTGAAAAACAGGTTAAACCAGCTGCAAAAGAACTTAATTTCCCTTAACATTGAGTAACGTTTAGCTAATTGTATAAATTGTGATATTTAAAGTAAAACATATCAGTGCTGAGGGGTACAATACCCATCTTACTTTATGTACATTTTTCATACCAAGTATTGCAGACAAATTATAACATGACTTTAAATGCAAACTAAAATGGCTTACATCCACTGAATAAGATGCTTTAAGCACAATCTCAATGTCTGCTCCAGCATCATATTGGACAATGTCAAATCACGATACTCTAGGAATGGTGCTCGCCTGCACTCTCTGCGGACATTCTCCATCTGGAACGTGATGGAATGTTTGAAGAAATTGTGTAAATGGCAAAAAGTGCCACTTTCCACAGTTCAAGTTACTGCAAAGTTACAGTAGGAGATTTAGAGTACCCAGTGGAACTTCCACTCCCTCCACCCCACCGAAGAAAAGCAAGTTCCACGATATGCATATATTTAACTATATGTTTAATTAAATGGTTTTCAGGAGCTAATACAACAAAATGGGTCTAAATCTGCCTGGTGCATTTTACTTGGCTCTGCTGTTTGTTTTAGATGTAGGTGCTAAGTATCACAGTTAACATTCTTGATTTGTGTGATGTTTATAATAGAAGTGCTGAAAATCATAATGTTCTGTAAATAAATACCCTGGGAGCCAACAGTTTAACACCAGTCTTCACCCCAGTGCTACTGCAAAATAATTTGAATGTTAATTTCACAGAGTACAACAGGATGTGCTTTTGCCTATTGTGTCAGTATTGACTCTCTGAAAGAACTGTGCAGTTAGATCCACTCCCTTGATATTTCCCAATAACTCTGCAAAATTCTCTCTTTAAGTACATATTCAATTCCTTTTAAAAGATGCAACCCAATCTGCTTTCGCTATCTTTTCACGCAGTGTGTTTTGAGATCATAACAACTCCTTGGCTCCCCATTGGAACTTTTTCCAAATATTTTAAACTGAGTCCTCTGGTCATTGATCCTCCTCTTTAAGATTCATTCTTGGGATCTGTAATTGTGCTTCAGTGGATGATGGTGAGCTAGTTTCTTGAACTCCTTTTGTCTGTGTAGTGCAAGTATACCCACAGTGCTGTTTGGAAGTGTTCTAGCAACAGCAAAGATATGCCACTGTCATTCCAAGTCGTGTGACTTGGAGAGGAGCTTGCAGATGGTGGTGATCGCATACATCAGTCCTTTGCTGCCCTCAATGTATCGAAGCCCCTAGACACTCCCCAACCCAACTGATCCATCTTTCATCTAGCTGTTATAGAGTCATACAGCATGGAAACAAACCCTTCAATCTAACCAGTCCATGTTAAACATAATCCCACACTAAACTAGTCCCACCTTGCTGCTCCTGGCTGAGACCCTCCAAACCTTTCTTATTCATGTGCTTGTCTAAGTGTCTTTTAAACATTGTAACTGTGCCCACATACACCACTTCCTCAGCAAGTTAATTCCACACGCAAACCACCCTCTTTTTTTTAAAAAAAAAAATTCCCCCATGTCTTTTTTTAAACCTCTCTCTTCTCACCTTAAAAAATATGCCCCCTCGTTTTGAAATTCCATCCTAGAGAAAAGACACCTACCATTAACCCTATCTATACCCCTCATGACCTTACAAATCTCTATATGGTCACCTTTCAGCCTCCTGAGCTCCAGTGAAATAAGTCCCAGCCTATCCAGCCTTTCTTTATAACTCAATCTTCCATACCTGGCAACATCCTGGTAACCCTCTGTAGCTTAATAATATTTTTCCTATAACTGGGCAATTAGAACTGGATGCAGCACTCCAGAAGAGGCCTCACCAACATCCAGTACAACCTCAACATGACTATACTCAAAGGACTTAGCATTGAAAGCGAGTGTGCTAAATTCTTTTCTAACCACCCTGTGTATATGTGATGTAAACTTCAAAGAATTATGTACCTGAACCCCTAGGTCCCTCTGTTCTGTGACACTACCCAAGGCCCTACCATTAATTGTATAAGTCCTGTCCCTGTCTGTTGTACCAAAATGCAATGCATCAATTTATCTAAACTTAACTCCATCTACCATTTTTCAGCCCATTGACCCACTTGATCAATATCCCTTCGTATCCTTAGAAGACCTTTATGCAACAGGATATATCAAGCAAGGGTAATGGAGGAGCCTGGGACATAGTCATACTCACCAAATTTTACCTTTATTAATAATGTCAAGCTGTTGCTTAGTTTACCTGTAGAGCAGCTGACCCAATTCTGGCACAAGTCCCTAAATTTTATTCAGGCGAACTTTGCAGGGTCAATTGAACAGGATGCGTCTTTTTCATTTCCAGCTCTGAACTCCATGCTGGGACTTCTGTCTAGTTTTATTCTTCAACTATTCTGTGGTGATTTGATGCAGCTCACTAGCTTGCTAGGCTGTTTCAGAGGCTGGATAAGTGACAGCTGCATTGCCAGTGCCATGGAAACAATTTCTCTCTATCTATTAGAACTTGGTGATTTTGACAGCTTCCCATTAAATCTCCCCTCCTTGTCAGTTCTAAGGAAAATAATCCCAGCTTCTTTGATCACTCCACATAACTGAATACCCCTTATTTCTGGTACCATTTGGTAAATCTCCTCTATGCCCTTAACATGTCATTACTGTCCAGAATAAGAGAATGCTTAAGTTTAAGTCAGTTGGATGATTTATAAAAAATAAAAACTGGCATGTTATTTTTGGTAATTTCTTCTGTACTTCACATTTCACCACTTAAAATGAGATGCATGTGTCACTGCATATCTCCCGTCAGCAACAGCTATCCGGAAAACCTGGATTAGTTTGAAGCCAGCCTTCTAGAATATTATGCTGCAATCTTCCCATTACAAACTTAGACGTGCAATTGTCCAAAGCTTGTTTGGACAATCATTGCTTCTCAGCAGAAGGAATTGCCAATTAGTTTGGGTCTGGCTGAACTGGAAGTCCGTTTCTGTCTCAAAATTTTGTAAAGTTCCCATTTTAGAGTACGAATAGGTCATTTAGCCCCTCAAAACTTGTTTATGTTGCTTTCTTGGAATGAGGAGTGGGTGCAATCCACACATTTTGTGAGATTTTTGAAATATGTCAGTATGTATACTTTCTGTAAAATAACCAGCTTACAATCAAACAGAATTAAAAACAGGAGAATCCACGTGATAGCACGTATGAGATTACAAGAGCCTGTACACAAATTCTATTTTATAATAATGATGGTACTTTGTTCAGGAAACACATTTGCAGCCCAAAGGCTGAAATGCAGTGTAACTTGCATCAAAAAATATATATGCGGGATGTTAAGGTTCAAGTGCAAAATGACAATATTCAGCGAACTGGGTGGCAAAACACCATTACGTGGTCCACTTGAAGGAATGAACTGTAATGCTGAACTTTGGTGAATAGCATAAACCCCACAGAATAGTAATATCAGAATAATCTGACTCCTCTAAAGAAGCCATACAATACTTGAAACATTAACTGTTTCTCTCTTCACAGAACTGCTAGACCTTTTGAGTTTTTCCACCATTCTCTGTTTTTGTTTTAGTAATATCTTTATTGGTGCCAATGGTAACATGGGCATTTTTACAATATTCCATTTGTTAAGCTGTTTGATTAGCAAATTATATTTTAACCACGTTGTTCTCCATTTCACAAGAAACTTATTTTGCTAGACTAAATCCAAGAAGCCTTTTCCATATTCGAGTCCAGTTATTGATCTCAACCGGTCAGAATGATGCCTTTTCATGCTTGATCCTATTTTGCTTTGTGCAGTCTATAGTACCAGTGTTTATTGTCACTGTGGCCTTCTGCTGTTGCAGGTTTGAAGGTTCCCAGCAGTTGTGAACTGGTTGTAGGGGGAGAGCCACAATGCTGGGCAGAAGGGCGCTGTTTGCTGTTTGATGATTCCTTCTTACACACAGCATTCCATGGAGGCAAGTATAACTGTTAACTGCCAAAGTGTCTTTTTTAAAATTCACATCCTTAAATTTTCATTGTAGTGTTCAAATGCTTGTCTTGCCTTTCTGCTCCCATTCACTGAAATCCCCTCTGGTTCTAGATTTCTTCCTTTTAAAGACATCAAGGGGTAAAAGAGAGAAAGCGGAATTATAGCATTGAGATAGAGGATCAGCTGTTATCATATTGAACAGCGGAGCAGACTTGAGGGGCCAAATGGCCCACTGCTGCTCATGGTTTTTGTTTTCTCCAACCTACCTAAGAATTCTTTGTCCCTACAATTCTGGATCTTAATTTCTTGCTCCATTGTGAAGGTCGTGGTTTCACTTCAGTAGGCCCTAAGTTCTCAAATTCCTGCCCATAAACCTTTGCCTCTCTCTACCATCCCACCTTTAAGAACTACTTCTTTCATCAAGCTTTTGTTCATTTGTTGTAGTATTTCCATCTATGGTTTATTGTCAAATTTTCTGTGATAAAACTATGGTGAAGCGCTATAGTACATTTTACTGTGCTGAATAGCATGCTTCAACTTCATAGTTTTGATCTGATCCTAGCACACCCAGATACTGAATGTGCCTTGGCTGTTTGACCCTGCAATGCATCATAGTTGAGCCTAACCTTTCCTTGTTGCCTACTTGAGTGCCCTTTGACCTTTACTCACTATCTCATTTAAGTGGTATTCTTGATAGTGTAATCAGGAAGAATGTTGTACAAAGCACAGAGTATTTTCCTCCGACCAGCAATTACTAATTTTTGTTTTGTGATTGCAGGTCCAAGTGAAGAAGGTCCACGGGTTGTATTCATGATTGATTTGTGGCACCCTAACGTTGCTGCTACCGAGCGGCAGGCTCTAGATTTCATCTTTTCTCCAGGCCGCTGACTCCTCTTGATCCTCTTTTATTTTATTTCTGGAGTGGCCAATCTTAGAAGGAGTGGAATTAACGGAACAAGACCTCTTGGATCATCAGATGTGCTGTCCAACTTTCATTCATCAAAAAGGAATAAGTGGACACACTAAGGAAAATATAAGCTTTATTTGCTGAAAATGCACGCAATGCCGTGTTAATGGTTGGATGGAGAAAAGAGTCCAAGATTTATTTATTTATCTGTTGCTTCTGATGTTTTTTTTGATAGAATAGGTCAGTCTCAACTTCCTATCCACCTCACCGGGTAGTGGGATTGACCGTTGCTGGTTACCTGATTTTTCTTTAGCTACGCTACAGTCAGTGAGATGATTTTTTCTGTCAATTGCCTTGGGCTGTAAAATATTCCAGTTGAAGCCATCTCTTCTGCGAGAGCTAGTCCAGTTGAGACACTGTGAACGTTTTCTAGACCACTACATCTGGTAATCAAAGTTCATATTTTCGGGGGGCAGGGGAGCGTGGGTGGGGGGATATTGGTAGCGTTCCCACAATTTTCCAAAGGAACACTTGGGAACAGGTTTCCATGTATAGGTGACTGGAGCTGTATCTCCATTGAGCATGTTTTTATAAAAATATGTTCCGCCTGGGCAAAGTTTCAGGATCAGTTTGTGATTTTTCACAGATTGCTTATTGACTCACTTGTGTATTTCAGGGGTTTTAATGTACTTTGCAGTGGAATCAAAATCAAATTTCACTTAAGATATATTCACTTAAAAGGAATTGTTTTTCAGAAAAAAAGGAAATGGATAGGGTTAAAAGGAAAGTTACAAACACAATCTGCTGTGTTGTCATCAGGGAAAATGAGACAATGGCTTGGCCATACAGCGCATATTAGAGATAGACTGACATTGGAAAGTTATGCTGTGATTATTATTATTTTTGGAATGCAAAATCTGCATAATAAATAAGGTATATCTCACAGTCCCATATAATGGGAATGAATGGGAAATTATTTGATCCATTGGATATCCATATAATGGGAGTGAATGAGAAGTTATCTTTGCTGGATTTCACTATTAACAGGTTTACATTTATTTTTAATCTCATGGATCAATACAATAAAAAAAAACTCTTACTTGAATCTAAAGGTATTTAACTTCGGGTCATTATTTTTAATTCTTTTATCAATGTACTTTGAGATTAAATCTGTGGAACTATATTTCATTCTTCTTGTGTTTATCAAAGTGGTAGATTGATGAACAAAACTTGAAGATTTTGTCTCCTTTTTCTGCACAGTGTCTGAAGCACTTTTGGACTCAGGTGCAGCATTGTGCAGCACAGGATTAAGTATAAGCTTCACAATGCTAGAATAATGCACATGAGCCCCACCCAAGAAGAAAAGAAGGAAGCTACCAGTTGCTTTCCTTCATTTCTTTCCCCCATCCATCCTTCATGTATTACGTAAATAGTTGTGGTATGGTCTCTCCCAATTAACTCCAAATAGGGTTGTCCCATCAAATGCTAAGGAGTCAACTACTGTTCTGAAATTTTCACAGTTCAGTACTGTGGGTTTGTGTTGACTGAGACAGTCTGAACTGATCATTTAGAACCTAAGTGTCCAACAGAGAGAGAGGCTACCAACCTGCATAAGTTGTGTTCAAGCCTAGGTTCGTTGTATCATTGTGTACTTGATTTGTGTCTACTAAGATTGTAAATGTGGTATAGTGTCATTTATGTTTGTGCCACCTGTGGATTAGTGTTATGTGAATTTAATGATAACACAATCCCACAGGATTCAGTCGAACATCCACGCTCTTCGTGATGCAATGTTATGCTTGCCTACTACTGTGAGTCTCCATTGGATGGACTGTATTTTCATAGGCACGTTTACCTCTGTTGGCCTGGTAATTTTGGTTGCACAACCTGGCCACTAGTTTCCCTCGAATCTTGAGGTGAACTACTTCTATCGATGCACTTTACTATATATAGCTAACATGTGTTGCATGTATACATGTGGAGTTGTGCTGGTGCAAGATTTGGAGAAATAAACCACATGTTCTACTCTTGCTGAATTTCTTTTCTGTAAATTAATGCCTACCTTATTTATCCCAAAATGAATATGCCTGTGTCTCCCATTTACTCAGGGTAGAAATTTACACCTGTTTAGTTTTGTGGAGGTTGGCAGAGTATCCACACTCTCGCTTAAGAATCTCTGATCCAAACACTTAAGCAACACACATTATTAGTTTCAGTTTGCTGGACAAGTGCCCTGTTTGTTTCATTATGAGCATGCCCATCTGTCTAAAGCCAAATAACCTAAATTCAGCTGTCTGCAGCTAAACCTATGTTGGATTTAGTTAGTGAAATCCTCCCAGCTATCCTTTACAAGCGTATTTCCCGCTGCTTGTTTCCAATCACACTAACCATTGATTCATTGCACAATAGGGTTATTTGAAGCTTCAAGAGAAGTTCTCTAGATCTCACCAATTATTCTCATCCTCCAGAATTTCATCAGTAAGCTTTATAGCTGAAACTCCCTGGTTCACTTCTAAGTTTGCCAACCATTACTATAGGGGATTTTTAAACCCAAAAGAAACAGACAGGTTTGGATCAGTTCTGGAGATTGCCAACTGTCCTAAAAGTCAAAGTCCTGACTTAAAACCACTCTAACTCTGGTTTTAAATGCAGCTAATAGATGTGTAGATTACCAAGCCATTCCAAGGAGGCAGATTGCCACTTGAAATTGGATAATGAAGCTGTGAAACACAGAAAATGTTGGAAAAGCAGCCCATTCCTCAGGATTCAAAATAGAATGAATGATTCAGTTGTTTCAGAGTTGTCTGTTGTATTTAAGGTTTTTACCTGAAACATTAATCTTTTGTTCACTTTTCAAGCACTGAGGAATCTGCAGTGCTTTTCCATCATTTTTGTCTCCACTTGAGGCTTCTGAATTTGTGGTTGCATTTTTATATCTGAAGAATTAAACTTTTCTGCTGAGAGTTAAAACAGTGGTCCTTGTGAAATATTTATATAATGCTCATCACATTTTGTGGGAGGGAAGGGATAATTTTAAAATATTTTAATGATTTGGGATACTTCAAAGCCAACCAGTAGTCAATAGAAAATATGACTAAAACACATGGTCTGATGATAATCCCATTACTATTCATGCTGAAATTATGTGCAGTTCGCTGCCTAGATTTCGAGAAAGGGGATTGAGGGGCAGGGTACTTGACATCATGGTAAAGGTAGTCAGGAGTTCATGCTGATCTGATTAAGATCATTGAATATCTTTAAATTCCAGCTTTGTGAAAATTTCACCTTTAGTCTGTTCCAAAATAAGAAACTTAATAATTCTATTGCAGTTGTGGGGTTTGCTGCATTAACTGAGACACACCAGAATATTTCAGTATGGTATATCAGGTGCCTGAATATTTGCTGCAATCATAAATAAAATAAATGTACAAAATGTGGAAAGACTCTTGTAGTTAATGGTACACAGTACGTGAGCAGTCATACAGTTGCCACAGAATGCAGTGTGCCTAGTGTTATCAGTTCTTTCTTTTTTTATTGCTTTTTCCCCAAGTCCCAAGATGTGTTAATAAATGTTTATCTCATGCCTTAGGAAAGATAAAGAACATAAATATAGTCTATTTTTCTGATGTACACAAGGATTGAGGTCAGTGAATTTATGAATTGCAAATTGGAAGTACGCTTGGTTAAGATGAATGGCATTTTGGGGTGAGGAACATGCAGCAAGTTTTAATTGTATTTTTGATTTGTTTTGAAGATATGACGAACACAGGATCTTGTATCTTACTGTCATCATTTCTTTTGTTAATGCAGGATTTGAATATATGCTGTTTCCTAAATATGTTAGGTTAAAAGCAAATTTGCGTTGATTGAAACATTCCAGTGAAATGCTGAAATAACAAATTGTCCAATAACACAGTTTTAGGTTTTCTTTAATTTTCTTCTTTTTCTGTTTTGATGTCCTTTTTGCGGTCTCTTCAGCAGGTTCCCAAGAAGCTAACTGATCTTATAGAAGGTGCTCCTCTGGACTATTAAGGAGCCCAGTCACTTCAAAGAGGAAAATTAACGCTACAGGCAACACAGTGTAGAAATTTGATGTTTCGAGTCGGGACCCTTCTTCAGAAATGAAGGAGGATCCCAACCCAAAACGTCAACTTTCCTGCTTCTCTGATGCTTGGCCTGCAGTGATCCTCCAGCTCCACACTGTTATCTCTGACTCCTGCAGCTGCAGTTCTTGCTATCTCTAATTAACTCTACATCCTTGTGGGCTGGGCTCTGGCATATTGTGTGCCCAAGCAGCCTCACCTACTACTGACCCCCAAATGATGTGACTGAAATTAGAATCTCAACTAGCAAAACAAACATTTTGCATTTAAATAGAACTTTTCATGACTTCAATATATCACAAAGCATTTTACAGCCAATGAAATAGTTTTTGGAGTTTAGTCACATTTGTTTAGAAATGTACAAATCCTATAAATAAAGTATATGAATACATTAATTGACATTACATGAAACCACTGTACGGTTCAATTGCTTTGACAGAATTGTGGTCCTTGAAGGTACCTCAGTACAGTTACAGATGTAAAAGCATGTTGAGAGACCACTAATGTTTCAGGTTTATCAGAACTTGCAGGTTATATTTGTAATATGCAGTTAATATCAGACATTGTCTGGTCCATATAGCCCAAGGGATTTTACGTTATTCTTCCCAATGGAAAATGGAAGAAGGGTATTGGGCCACAGTCTAAGTCTTTGTAGCTGCTCCCCAGGCTTTAGTCTGTGCCTCAACACCTATGTCTCAGGCTTGGTTCTGGATAGCGCTTGTGGGAACTAACAGGTTTCAGGCAGATCCGAGAGCGTCTTTCACTAAGTTGAAGTGTAGTCAGTATACTAATATAGGGCAATACTCCAGTCAGTTTGCTCACAGCAAAGTCCCACAATTGGTCAACAACCAGATCATTTTTAAGATAGTTGAGGCATAATTGCTGCTTAGTCTTTTAGACATTTATGAAATCTTTCCTGGTCAGTTATGATGGTATGCAGGACCCCAGCGTTAACACTTTGTCCAAAGGGCATGATGCAACAGTTCCTCAAGATTGTGTGTTCTGGAGCGTGACTTGAACCCACAACCTTCTAATGCAGAGGTGAGAGTGGTACCACTGAGCCCCAAGGCTAGTACTTAACAATAACTTACTGTGTACCCCAGTCCTACATAATAACATACACTGGTAATAGGTAAAGGTTGTCCAATCTCTTCCTATGGTGGTTGGAGTGGGATGCCACATGACAATTTTTCTCTCACTTGGGGGAGCCAGTGAGTAAGTTTCATAAAGGCAAGAATGCCGCAGCAGTTTACATAAATTTCAGAGAAAAAAAATTCCAAAACAGTAAATTGATCATTTTAGTGAGTAATTAATAAAAAAAAAACATTTTAAAAAGTGTTAAGCAGCAAAGCTAACAAAAACTTTTATCCGAGACAACAAGGTGCAGAGCTGGATGAACACAGCAGGCCAAGCAGCATCTGCTCCTTTCATCCAGCTCTGCACCTTGTTGTCTCGGATTCTCCAGCATCTGCAGTTCCTACTATCTCTGAAAAAACTTTTATCCGCTGTTCCCGTTGTGGCCTCCTCTACATTGGGAGAGGCTGGGGGACTGCTTTGCAAAACACCTACGCTCGGTTTGCACTAAACAACTGCACCTCCCAGTCGCGAACCATTTCAACTCCCCCTCCCATTCCTCAGATGACATGTTCATCCTGGGCCTCCTGCAGTGCCACAACAATGCCACCCGAAGGTTGCAGGAACAGCAACTCATATTCCGCTTGGGAACCCTGCAGCCCAATGGTATCAATGTGGATTTCACAAGTTTCAAAATCTCCCCTCCCCCTACCGCATCCCAAAACCAGTCCAGCTCATCCCCGCCTCCCTAACCTGTTCTTCCTCCCACCTATCCCCTCCTCCCACCTCAAGCCGCACCCCCATCTCCTACCTACTAACCTCATCCCGCCCCCTTGACCTGTTCGTTCTCCCTGGACTGACCTATCTCCTCCCTACCTCCCCACCTACACATCACCTTTACTGGCTCCATCCCCGCCTCTTTGACCTGTCTATCTCCTCTCCACCTATCTTCTCTATCCATCTTCTATCCGCCTCCCCCTCTCTCCCTATTAATTTCAGAACCCCATTCCTCTCCCCCATTTCTGAAGAAGGGTCTAGGCCCGAAACGTCGCCCTTCCTGCTCCTCTGATGCTGCTTGGCCTGCTGTGTTCATCCAGCTCTACACCTTGTTATCTCAGATTCTCCAGCATCTGCAGTTCCTACTATCTCAAAAACTTTTATCTCCTTTTCAGTTAAAAACCAAAGCTAGAGAGACACGGACAAGTGTCCCAAGTGCTGATCATCAGGGAAGGGGGTGGGGACTGGGACAGAGCTAAGGAGTTGGGTTAAATTAACGATGAACTTGCACGTTTTGCTTTGTTGGAATTTGCATGAAAATTGTGGTTCAGAAGTTTGGTGTCTTCCAATGTGCATCTGACTTTGTCCCTCACACACTCATTTACCCACTGAGTTCCTTTAGTCAGTTATCGAGGTACCTAATCCCCCACCTGCAATGCACCAACCTGATGTTTACTCCACACGAATGATTCACCCAACACTTGGACCTCTCACCCTGTGGCCTGACTGTCATTCTCTTTGTCTCCAGTCCTTGCAGTCACTGTCCTGCAGACTCTGCTCAGCAGCATCAAGCTGTATTAAATCACTCGTGCTGTTTCTCCCTGGTATTTGCTGTTGGTAGGACAGCTGAGGGAATGTGGTTGTGGGGGCCCGAGGCTAATGTTTATCGAATATGTATTCGTGACACATGGTGAGATTTGAATACAATTTTAAAAACACTGGAATAAACAAGCAGTTGGTCTAATGATGACTGTATAACCCTGATCAATAGTCATTAAAAACCCATGTCATTCTTGAATGACCTTTAAGGAACACAATCTGCCACCCTTGCCTGTTCTGGCCTACAGTTGACAGCAATGTGGTTGACTCTTAATGATCCTCTGAGCAATTGGGGGGCGGGGGGTAATAAATGTTGGTCGAGCCAGTGATGCCTGTATCCCATGAAAAATAAAAAAGTACAGAGAACCAGCCTCGAATTGGATAAGAAGCTACTTTCAAAATTCCCAGGTTCACTTGCCTGTTTTCAACAAATGGCTTTACTCTTGTATCTTCTCAACCAGTCACCCTACTGAAATGAGTGTAAAAAGTAATTGGACAAGGAAAGAATGGCATAAATGTTAAAATATCAAGGTGTTAGATTATATCTGTAGGTCTGTGGTGAATTAGCCTGAGCTGAGTTGCCTAGATATCCCAGTTTTGCTGATAGAATCTAGATATTTCATTGAATGTCCTGGGAATTTCCTAACAGTAAATGAAGTCCCAGGTTTAACCTTTTCTATTTTGTCAAATATAAATTGGCCCTCAGGAGAAGAAAGTCTGTGTGAAATGTCCTTCTGTATACAAGCATTACATCACACTGCATGCAACAGACCTATGCTCCTCCCTACGCAACCCCTTGACAAAGGGAGTTGTCCTTTTTATAGTGTTGACTATTTCATTGCTGAAACAAGCTTTGAAGTGATCTGTGGAATGGGGTTTCTAACACAGGCTGGACAGATTCAGGAAATATCAGGATATGACCTCCCACCTTCAACTGCCCCTTCCCTCAAGTTCTGCTATGGGGTAGACCCAACAATTAACTTAGTCATCTATCCTGAACAGAAACAGCTGGAGAAACTCAGCACGTCTGGCAACATCTATGAAGAGAAAAAGCTAACAATCCAAGTTCAGTGACCCTTCTTCAGTCACTGATTTCCCCCACCTCTCCGGGCTTTTCATTTTATCCCAGTTTTGACTTGCAAACATCTGGTCAGCCTTCGCTGAGCACTCCCTAGTTAGGGACAAGGAGGAAACAAACTCACACAAGATGACCATGACTAGAAAATTTCGATGTATCAATGTGCTAAAGACAGGGTTATTTTCAGTGTGACTCCCATGTGTTAGTGGCCTAGCAGAACTTTGCTAATGGGCTCACATTTGTGGAATGACTAATTGTCTATGGTACGAAAGCTGATCCGTCACCAACAGTAGGTTCAGAGATAGTAGGAACTGCAGATGCTGGAGAATCTGAGATAACAAGGTGTAGAGCTGGATGAACACAGCAGGCCAAACAGCATCAGAGGAGCAGGAAGGCTGACGTTTCGGGCCTAGACCCCTCTTCAGAAAATG